CCCCAAAACCCCAAAACCCCAAAACCCCAAAACCCCATTAAACGAAATTTGAGTTTTAAAACGTATTGAAGAATTATCATAACTATCTTTATCAAGTGCATAATCTTAATTTATAGGTGATAATCCAAGGTGATAAGACTATTTTAGTCAAACTTATGATATTAAATTTATAGATTAATCAAATTTAAAAGAAATTAGAATTTAATACAAGCTCACCTTTTCTCTGCCACAATAATCATCACTTCAAAGCAATTAGGATCAATAACACCTTCGCCTAAAAGTTTATTGTAAAGCTCCTCTGCTTCAAGTTTAATTTGCTTTCTTCCTTCATCATCTAATTTAGCCATTGCTACTTGAGCTGGGGGTTAAGTAAAAACTGTAGCCCAATACTCTTCAAAGTTTTTAAACGGGAAATTCATAGGTTAAAACCACATTTTAATATTTGAGAAACCCATATCAATCATCTCCTATCTTACTGTATCCTTATTTTAACATATATGATAGTATGTTTTGGCTGGTTTTTCATCAGGTCCAATCTTAAATTTTTCAATAAGCATGTTAAGAATCCCAAAATTGTTGCTATTGTTTTAACTGCCCCAAACTGTGAAGGCTAATCTTGCTCCCTTTTTGCAAACTCTAAATGCCTCGGAAAGTTGATTCTTATAATTATCTACAAGCATTAGTGACAAATTAGCGAGGTAACAGTCAAAAGTATCATCTTTGAAAGGTAGGGATTCATTGTTTGCTTGACAACCAAATACGAATCTATCGCTTTCATTTTAATTATGCTTCTTGATTTCTTCTTCAAGATCAAATGAGTGTTCTCCTAAAGGCAGCAAAGCCTCAGTAGTAATATCATATCTATTACCAATCACATCTGTGTACCCAGAACTCCAATTGAGATCATCATATTTTTGCTTAGTTAATTTCATCATCTTGCTACTGAAATCGCAAGATACTAAGACTCCTCCTTTTTAGAGCATTGTTTTGGCAACAATAAGTGAATGATATCCGCCACCGCAGGCAACTTCAAGTATTCTTTTGCATTAGAAAGTATCTGTCTAGCTGCAAAGAGTAATAAATGGCTGAGTTGCCATTCTAGTAACTTACTGATCATAAACAGTAGAAAAATCATCCCATATTTTTGTTTATTATTCTTATTTTGTGAGATTGATATTTTAAAGTGAACTTGATATCATATCCTATGTAGATTCCATTTTTAATTTAAATAGATTCTACGATATTAATAAGATTTCATTTATTGCTAAAGATATTTTTATTTCTTACCCTATTCAGAAATTTCAATTGGTGAATGATGGGGTTTTGGGGTTTTGGGG